GCATCTTCAAGTCTGTTTTTGACCTTTATGTCAAAAAAAAGTTTAAAGTAAAATTGTAAACAAAATACAACAAGTATTTCTAGATTTTGCGAATTTTGATCATTTAAGTTGTGTTTCCTTGTCCACATAAAGACTATTCTCATGCCAGTAGTGAAGCATCTGGCATGACTCAAGGGGCCACATTGAATTTCTCTAATATTAGGTGGCAATAAACCAATCTTAACTGCTTTACATAGCTTGTAACATTGTTTCTGATCTGTTGACATATTTTTTAATATTGTTTCTGGAATGTCGACAAAGCTCTCTCCATTTGGAAGAGCTTTAAATTGAGGATTATACTCCATTTTATTAACATCAGGAAGAAATTTTCCCACAGGACCTACAAATCCAGTACTACATGATGTTGGTCCATCAATGCCTTCTATAAGGTGACGCAAAAATAATTCATTCGAATGAAGCATGCATATAGCCCAGTGGCACTTGTGACCTAACAGCTTTTCAAGATGCGTTATAGCACCACCTTTCCAGCCTGTGTTAATTGAAGTACTGTCAGCTCCAAGTACTAAACATGATTCAGTAAGATTATATTGTTGCAGCAAATCATAAACACCTTCAGCAATCTTTTTAGCTGGCTTATCTAGATGATTAGGTGCATTTGGGGTAAAATGGCCAAGATATCGACCACCAGGTTCTATAGTCACAGTAATGTGCTGCTCTTTGATAATAATAGGATGTAGCTGTCCATTTGAATCATTTATCATTGCTCTTGTTGAATCTTTCCTTCCGTCAAAGTAAATGGCAATATTATCTGCTTTCGGAAGTTTTAAATTATCATTTTTCTTCGCAACTACCATCACCTTTTTTCTCTCTCTCGTTAACTTAGAAGGATCACAAGCAAGGTAAGAGGACTCAGGGGTGAGAAATCCTGCTTCAATTAAATCTTGAAGATAACTTGTAGCAATTGCTGCAGTTGCGGCAGGTGAAATCCCAAACCTATAAAATAAGAATGGTTTATATTTATTTCTATTAACTTATGTTGCTGCTCAACAAAACAAAAGTCAGTATAATTACCTTATACTAGCCATAGCTGTGTTTTTTATTGACATTGTGTTATATCTTGACTTCTTTTCTAAAAACCGTGTTACAAGGAAAGCATAGACACCTAACTTTTCCTTTAGCAGCCTTTTAACCAAAATCTTAATTTCATTGTCTTGTTTTAAAGTTAAGTTAACATTATCTAGATTATAGTTTTCATCGAGAAAGCCAGGAAAAATATTTTTTTAATGTTCTTTATTTAATTCTATATCTTCTTCTTCTGCGACCTAAAATCAAATTAAAACCAAAATACATATATATATATATATATATATATATATATATATATATATATATATATATATATATATATATATATATATATATATATATATATATATAATATATATATATATATATATATATATATATATATATATATATATATATATATATATATATATATATATATATATATATATATATATATAATATATATATATATAATATATATATATATATATATATATATATATATATATATATATATATATATATAATATATATATATATATATATATATATATATATATATATATATATATATATATATATATATATATATATATATATATATATATATTATTGTTATTATTATTATTATACGAAAAAAGAAAATATTTATTATTAAGAAATTATTTTTACCTCGAAGAATGCTTGTTCCTCCTCTATTTTTTTAATTCTTTTCTTGTAAGCTTCTTCATCGCTGACTTTTCTCTTATACTTTTTTCTTAGTTTCATTGTCTCAATCTTATCAGCATGTCCCATCTGCATGTCAGACTTTTCACCTGTCTTATTTCTTTGACTGTATAACCACCTGAGCTCGATAGTTGGAATTTTTTTAGAATAAATACAGGTGCAATTTATATGTGCTTTATTTTACAATTTTTGGGGGAAGAACACCCAGACAGATCATGCTCGCATAGAAGTATTGTGTGAGGACATGTTATGAGGTCCATTAGTTTATCTAACTTCAATATTAGCTCTTCTTTTACTTTTACCTTAGTTCTTCCCCATGCAACGTTTTCTACTTTCTCCCAAAGTGTTTTTATTCTATAATAAAGCGATTTCTCCCCAATAATAACTGGTTGTTGAAATAAAATACTTGCTTTTTTCCATTGAGCAAGAACAAGTGGAATTAGATCGCTAGCAAGATCTTTGTTAGAATATTTATTTTGGTGTAAATTGCATGTTATGCTTTTTTGTTCTTTTAATAAAATTCCTTTTTGAATAACTGCTCTGTTTGTAGGCAGCTCACTAGGAATAAAATCTTTTCCAGGTCCAACAAACTCAGAAATTCTAGTGGTGGATGAATATCTAGTTTTAACTTTCGACATTTATGAATAAATTGATAATATAACAAATAAAATATTTACAGACTACGATCTTGTTTAGATGCTTTTTACGGTGGAGAGCTAAGAATTTCTTTAAAAATTGATTTGGCACTGCGCTTATTATGAGAAACTAATCATAAAACCGGATTAAATTTACTTTATAATAATTAAAGTATATTTCATTTTAATAATGTCTAAATATGAAAATTTGGGTATCAAAACGTTTTCTAATCAAAAAGTTGTCCATAGCAAACCTACCTTAAAATTTAATTTTACATAAGAATACACCTTTTCCTAAGCTTTAATTTTATTTTTTTCAAAAACATATGAAATTCACTGTACCCTAGTGGACAGCAGGGGAACTTGCCCCCTTAATAATTTTTCAGATAAATAATTTTAAAGAAATTGATTAAAAAATGACTTCTTTTAAAGTTATTTTATTTTTTATTTCTATTTTTATTTCCATTAATTTTAACTTCAAATATGTGCGTGATTTACAAAATTTTCTTAGCGCCCGTTTAATTAATGAAGTCATGCATATTTATATATTTTTCTAATTATTATTTTTACTTATACTGTGTTACAATTTTAAGGTATTGTTTTATAATTTAAAGTACTTAGGTTCATTAATTTTTAAAAGTCTTAGGTATATATATATATATATATATATATATATATATATATATATATATATATATATATATATATATATATATATATATATATATATATATATATATATATATATATATATATATATATATATATATGTGTGTGTGTGTGTGTGTGTGTGTGTGTATATATATGTGTATATATGGGCAATTCCACGAGAAAGAGGGAAAAAAAAAAGCGAAAAAGTTATGAAAACACATATTAAACTCCATAACTATTTTTTTTTAACTATTTTGAAATACTTTTAAGCAAAAAAGTTATTAAAAAAAATAATTATATCATACCATAGCATGGCTTTAAAGTTGTAAGAGTTGTATAAAGGTGTTTTGATGCTTAATTACATTCCTGTTGAGTAATGTTAAAAATCGTACTGTATATTCATAATTGAAAATTTTGATAATGTTTTATTGGATTTTCAAACATATTATATAAGGTTGTTAACAATTATTTATACTTTTTTTTTTAAATCATTGATTGGGTCATTATATTTGTTGTTTTTAAGCATTAGATTTTTCGTTACAACCGTCACCAAAAAACACAAAAAAGCTCCTAAAACGTCGTAAAAAAAGTAAAAACTATGAAACTCAGCATATAGTAACATCAATATGTGCTAAATACACACACCAAAGGATTTTTTTTTACCATGCCATTCACTACATTAAATCTGACAAAGTTGTTTTGTTCAGAAGTGGTAAAAAGTAAGCATTACGACCGTCACATTACTTAGAGTTAATATTAGAAAAAAGTTGAAGACTTTAATGCTGTAACTTTTACATACTAAATTATATGATAGTATTTCACATTTCTGGAAAGTTTCAAGTCATTTCCTGTTTTTGGTTAAATAAATATAAATCCATAAATAAATCCATAAATTTTTAATATAAACAGAGAACTTATTATTACTTTATATTTATAAATATTAATATACATATATATAACAAAAATAGGTTTGAAAACTATATATGACTGTCACTCTCATGGAATTCCCATATATGTGTGTGTGTATATATATATATATATATATATATATATATATATATATATATATATATATATATATATATATATATATATATATATATATATATATATATATATATATATATATATTATATATATTATATATATATATATATAATATAGTCTAGCTTGCTAGTCAAAAAGTTAACTGTTGTTTTAAAGAGAGCACTAATAAACCAGACTAGAAAAAGTATAAAAAATTTAAATAAATTTTTTTTAAAATGATAGATTGCTTGCCCAAACCAAACTCTCAGTCCAGCAGCAGCAGGCTATAAGATAATTGATGTAGCAGCACTCCTTTGTAGCAGTAGGCTATGATATAGTCGATGTAGATGCACTTCCTTGTAGCAGCAGGCTATAAGATGGTCGATGGAGCATTACTCCCCGCATACTTTAAAAATATATTTAAATAAAACAAAAATAAAAAGACTATTAATTAAAAAAACTTTCTAGTCATTTTTATTGTGGTTTTTTAAAAAACGATAAAACTTAATGTACTTCCGCGTCAATTTAACTGTTTTAACTTTTTAAAGACAATAAAACTTATTTTTACCATAAAAGTCTCTTTCGACTACGAGATGAGGATTTGTATATATATACATATATATATATATATATATATATATATATATATATATATATATATATATATATATATATATATATATATGTGTGTGTGTGTGTGTGTGTGTGTGTGTGTGTGTGTGTGTGTGTGTGTGTGTGTGTGTGTGTGTGTGTGCATGTAAATGTCATCTACACAATATGTAAATGTCATCTACACAAGGAAGAAATTAATTACACAAAAAAATATTTTCATTCTTCAACAACAGTGTCATCAATAAATAGCTTATGACTAATAATTTATAAAATAAAAAATACCTTTTTTTGCGTCGTGATAAATAGCTTTTGCTATACCAATAAACTTTGCATCTTTAATAACTGGCACTTCATTTAATTTGGAGTGTAAACTAAAAGCTTGCAAAATTTTTGCAACTGTCAAATCTTTTATATCTCCACAAAAAAAACTTTCTTCTTGATTAATAAGATCAATCTTTCCAATTGCATTAATTAATCTTATAGGCTGATCACTAGTCCCAAGATTAATATGTGATCCAAGAAGATCTATCATGAAAAAAAAATTTAAATTTATTTCAAAAAAATTGGCATTATTGCTATATCAAAGGCAGCAAACAAGCAAAAGCAAATGAAGTTTAAGTTTTTTGGCATATTTGATATAGTTGAAGTTTATAGGGTTACTAACATTACTGCTATATCTGTGGCAGCAAACAAATCTAAGTTTTTATTTTGGGTTAAGAATTAAAATTTAAAACTTTAGGAGCTGACAAGAAATATATAAAAACACAATATGGTGGTATAACTTTTTAACAAGAAATTGTGTACGTGTTCTCATGCTCAGGCTAGTCCACACGTAATATTTATTTAGGATGTCAATATATAACTTTTAAAAAACTTTTCGTAAAAACAATTTTTGTAAAGTCAAAAACATTATAAACATCAATACTAATCCGAATACTTAATTAAAAAAATATGGTTGCTATGGTTACAATTTTTGTTTATAACATCAATACTAATCCTTAAACTTAAGTAAAAAAGCATAAAACAATGAAACATCCAACTTTACCCTTTTTCTTTTTTTTGCTAAATTAAAGTATAGTCATAAAGTATACATACAACTTATACAAAGTATACATAAAGTTACATATTGTACATAAAGTTCAAAGTATACATATTGTACATAAAGTTCAAAGTATACATATTGTACATAAAGTCCAAAGCATACATATAGTTCATACAGTCTGCATAGTCCTTGCAATCTATGTTAATTTTATATTTGAAAAATTTAAAAAGAAAGCGTAAATGTACTAATCTATTGCTTAAATTTATTTAAACAATGGATTAGTACATTTACACTGTCTGTTTGTATAAATAAATACTTAGATCAATGAATACAGATCTATGATAAGTTTGATTAGTTTTCTTGTAAAATCTCTTTACACAGATATACCAGCATTGTATACAGATAGATTATATATATTAACAAGAAATTATAAATTTTACCAATAACAGGCCTAAAATCAAGACTAACTTCAAGCATAATGGAACCTAGAAACGGCTTAAATGCTACTTGTGTTGTCTGAAAAAAATCAGAAACTGATAATCCGCTAAACTGCAACATTGGAAATCCTGAGGCATGCTCACCAATTTTTCCTAAAAAAAAAAACAACCTTAAAAATAAAATAATTGTTGAAAGAGTTGTTTCTTAAACAAAATTTTTATCACCAAAAATAATTTTTGCTGTAATGATTTTTGTAATATACAAACCATGACTAAAAAATAAATAAAAAACTGGCCCATGGTTTTTAAATTTCTCTTGAAAGGGGTAGAAATCCTAGAAATAGAGCGTAACATTTTTTTAAAATTGTATATTTTATGTACAAAACTTGTTTATTTTCATTACAGTAAAAACCTGTTAACTTGGACCCTGAATAAGTCTGACTTTTACTAAATCTGATAGATTTTCTATTCCCCCTGAGCTTTCTATATCAACTAATTATAAAATCATCCGCTTAAGTTGTACCCTAGTTAAGTTGGACCATTTGCTAATTCATAATGTTTTTGGGGTCCCTTCAGCAAAAAACTTTTATTTTGATATGTATTTAAGTGCATGTAATAACAAAACTTCCAATACTTCAATAAAAATTCCAAACTTTGAACGCTCAAAAACAAAATACTTTTGCATCAAATAAATATAAACTAAACTACTGAAATCTTTGATTCGGTTAATCTTCAATTATTTATTATTTTTATTATTATTTATCAAAAATGTCAAAGGTTCTTATAAGAAAACTAACAAGTAACTATAGTAACAAGTAGAACTATAACAGAAAAATACATAAAACATAAAGAACTGAAAAAATGAGAATCATCTGTAACTATATCAAAGAAATATGGCATTCCAAATCAAACATTCCCTGGATGGTTAAAGGCAAAAAACACAATATATTTAGAAGTTGAAAAAAACTAAACTTCTGAAAAAAGAATGAGGATGCAAGTCTCCTTAAATGAGGATTTGGATAAAGCATGTTGTATATGGCTTTTAAACACTCAACACCAAAACATTCCTGTGTCATTCTGTTCAAAATTTTGATTAGCCTGACATTTTCAAAAATCAGACATAATGAGAATTTTGCTTAATTCGGACGTTCAATAAGTTGGACAATATATATATATATATATATATATATATATATATATATATATATATATATATATATATATATATATATATATTTTTTGATTAGCCTGACATTTTCAAAAAGTCAGACATAATGAGAATTTTGCTTAATTCGGACGTTCAATAAGTCGGATAATATATATATATATATATATATATATATATATATATATATATATATATATATATATATATATATATATATATATATATATATATATATATATATATACTCTTTCATGGTAGTTGAAAAGAGTTTCCCATAAACTGTAGTTTTAAAGAGCGCGTTAATAAACCAGACCAGAAAAAGTTTAAAAACTTAAATTTTTTTTTTTTTTCAAATGATAGACTGCCTGCCCAAACCAAACCCTCAGTCGATGTAGCAGCACTCCCTTGCGAGTCAGGCTATTTGTCAGTCGTTGTAGCAGCACTCTCTTGCGAGTCAGGCTATTTGTCAGTCGTTGTAGCAGCACTCCCTTGCGAGTCAGGCTATTTGTCAGTCAATGTAGCAGCACTCCGTTGCGAATCAGGCTATTTGTCAGTCGATGTAGCAGCACTCCGTTGCGAGTCAGGCTATAAGATAGTCAATGTAGCAACATTTACGCATGTTTTAAAAATGTTTTTTAATAAAATAAAAACAAAAACATCACTAATTAAAAAAAACTTTCTAGTCGTTATAATTGTAGTTTTTTAAAAAAATTTTAAAAAACAATAAAATTTAATGTACTTCCGCATTAATTTAATTGCTTTGACATTTCGACGACAATCAAATACAGCTTAAGAGACGAGGTAATTAAAATTGTAGTCGTAAGAGACTTTTTTTACATTAAAACGCTCTTTCGACTACACTATATGGATATATATATATATATATATATATATATATATATATATATATATATATTTTGATTAGCTTGACATTTTCAAAAAGTCAGACATAATGAGAATTTTGCCTAATTCGGACTTTCAATAAGTCGGACAATAGATATATATATATATATATATATATATATATATATATATATATATATATATATATATATATATATATGTATATATATATATATATATATATATATATATATATATATATATATTTTCAGAGTCCGAGTTAATGATATTCTACTGTATTTTGATATACAAACATTTTTGTTTCTAAATCTACAATATATTACTTAAGTGATTTGAATAAGTTAAAGTTTTTAAAACCATAGACAATTGTTAAATTACAATACATGAAATATATTCATTGAGCAAACATAGAACTTTGCAGTACTCTTAAAGTTACTGGAATTGAAGAAGAGTGTAGGCCTTTGAGAATGACATAATACTACGGTTAGAAATGATTTAATAATCTTAAAACTTTTATATAAAAAATCTAATGCCAAAGAGTAGTCCAATCGAATTGGAGAGGTCAGAGTGTTTTCTAGAGTTTTTAAATATTAAAACCACTTATTTACTACATAATAATAGTTTAGCAAGGATTGACAAGAACTCTGGAAAACAAATTTTCAAGACTATGATGAAAATTTTTCCAAACACTATTTTTTTAAATCATATCGCTGTATATCTCATTTCTAAAAAAATAATTGCTGCGCTTTAACTTGCGTTATAAAAATATGTTCGTTGTTCCAGAGCTCATCAAAAATTTGCTTTGTGCAAATCTTTGATGAGCTCTGGAACATATTAACAAGGCATTTAATTTAAATAGCTAAAAAAATGTTTAGGAGGAAAAAGCAAAAAAAAACAATTACGATAAAAATTAGCTAATTCTTTTTAAGAATAAATAAAATTTAAATATTGAACAATATTTGGTAATATTTTTGAATAAATTTGACAGCTAAATTAAACCCATGCATTAACTTTAATTTTAATAACTTAAATATATTTTTTAAATCTAAATTAAATTATATATTTTTTTAATATATATTTTAAAAATTATATTATATATATTTTTTTATTAGAATAAAATAATATATTTTTTAATTAAATTAATTTTAAACTAAATTATATATTTCTTATCAGAATTAAATGATTTTAAATCAAATTAAATTTCTTTGCTTCAAGTTTAAAGTATTAGCGTTCTTCAATTGAGAAAAATAATCATTACAATTAAATAAAAAAAATATATATCATAATATAAACTACAATTAAATAAAAATATATATATATATATATACATATATCATAATATAAAAGAAAGAAAATATAAAGTAAATTTATTTTTTATTAGTAAATAAAAATTTAAGAATTTAAGTAAATTTTTTATTTTATTGCAATCAAAAGTTCGATAAATATTCTTGTGCTTGCAAGACAATAAATAAAGGTTTTTATTTTATATATATATATATATATATATATATATATATATATATATATATATATATATATATATATATATATATATATATATATATATATATATATAAAATAAAAAAAACAATTACGATAAAAATTAGCTAATTCTTTTTAAGAATAAATAAAATTTAAATATTGAACAATATTTAGTAATATTTTTGAATAAGTTTGACAGCTAAATTAAACCCATGCATTAACTTTAATTTTAATAACTTAAATATGTTTTTTAAATCTAAATTAAATTAAATATTAAATTATATATATATATATATATATATATATATATATATATATATATATATATATATATATATATATTTAGTTTAATAGAGACTAAGTTTTCATAGTTTTAAATTTTATTTGAGGTTTTGTTTTATCACTAAATAGAGCTTATATCTAACATAATTATCTTTTTTTACTTTTGTAACTTTTTTACATAACTGTCATTCAAAAGTTAATGTGGTATATATATATATATATATATATATATATATATATATATATATATATATATATATATATATATATATATATATATATATATATATATATATATATATTTAGTTTAATAGAGACTAAGTTTTCATAGTTTTAAATTTTATTTGAGGTTTTGTTTTATCACTAAATAGAGCTTATATCTAACATAATTATCTTTTTTTACTTTTGTAACTTTTTTACATAACTGTCATTCAAAAGTTAATGTGGTATATATATATATATATATATATATATATATATATATATATATATATATATATATATATATATATATATATATATATATATATATATATATATATATATATATATATATATATATATATATATATATATATATATATATATATATATATAATATGAAAATTGAATTAAAAAAATATAGATTAGGATGTATTTATGTTTATGCAGCCCCAGTCATAAACAAAGATCTGGCTATTTCATTTTAAAACCAATTTCAAAGCGGCACTGGGCCCCAGGCAAATTTCAACCTGGGTCACTTACTATACGGCTATTGCAGACGAGAAATATTAGGAATGTGGCAACATAGCTAAGAGACTATTTTTCTCTAAAACAAGCATTTATAGAGGAGTATTCCTTAGAAGGACAGATGTTAAAAAAGACCCAAAATTTTCACAGGATATGTAGGATATCCTAGCTTAGTTCCCTTTTTACAGCAGTCTTGTGTTATGTGAAGCAGAGATTCAATAGATTAAGCTTCCTCCAGATTACGGATTTTAAATAATTTTTATCAGGAATTTGGAACAGCCATTAAGAATGTTGATGTTGCAAATGATTGATCAGAGTGAACAAATGCCAATGATTGATTAGAGTGAAAGATAAGAAAACAGAAAGATGATGTCACAAACCTTTATAAATACTTGGCTAAAAAGTAATACTTTTTGTATGTTGTATATACATATACTCATACATATACATATACACACACATGCACACCCATATAATTCAGTAACTAACTTGATAGAGGATAAATTGCTACAATCATTACTTCCATTTTTAAACCATAAATGGTATAAAAATACCACATAGCTGTAATTAAAAAAACCAGCTGTAGTATAAAATTTAAAACTAATTCAAAACTAATTTAAAACCTTATTGCTAACTTAAAACTAATTTAAAACTATGCTAAAACTAATTTAAAACCACATTGCTAATTCAAAACCATGTTAATTATAACATGTAGTTGTAATATAAAATAAAGCTTACAAAAGTAAAGAGAGTCCTTGCCTTTGACTTTCACATTTTTCCCTATGATATTCAAAACAGCAACACCAGATATAATGAAATTTTGTTTACCATCTATATATGAGAATGAAAAGACTGGGTCTAACATATACAAATCTTCTGAAAAAGTGATTATACTTCCTGGTTTACTTTGTAATAAAAAGAAATCTTCTTTAAGAAGACCATTGACAAGTGTACCAGCAAAATTTGGTATATGTAAATTAATGTATTGACAAAACATATCTCTTGTTATTTCGTTTTCGCAATATGAAGCCCTTGCCAATTCACCAACAAAAGACACTCCTGAAAAAATAAAAAATAGATTCATTCATTCTTAGAATGGGAAACAAAACAATATAATATCATTATTTCATAAAGAAAAAGAAAATAATAACATTATTTAAAAAAAAAATTATTCCTTAGGAAAATAAAAAAAAAATAAAAAATTGTAAATATATTTAAGTAACTAATTTTTTTTTTAAATAATGTAAAAAAAAAATTAAAAAAAAAAAAAATAGTTATTTAAATAAAAAATTATATGCTTTTTAACTCTCTCTCTCTGTCTCTCTTGTTTTCTGTTATTTATATAATATGTTATATATATAACTCCTAATTTGATTAGTGGTTTGAAAAAATACTTCAAATTAACACAACATAGAGTATTGTATCAATGTGCCAATCCTCCTCAATTTAAACTTACACTTAATCCAATTTCACAGTAAAAGCAAATTATTTCTAATAAAGTCTAATAAAATAAAAGATGACATTAATGAATTGTATCAACCAGGGGTTGGCAACATTTTGAGACAGAAGAACCAAAAGTTGCAATTCACAAAGTTTTTTTAGTTTTTAAAGAGCTACCAACATCTTTATTTCAATATTAAATTAGTACTTGCACATTGAGCTAAAGAGCTGCATATTGAAATTGAAGGAACCACATAAGAATCGGAAGCTGCAGGTTGTCAAACCCAGGTATAAACTTTTAAATAATATAATGCAGACCATGTATTTATGTAAATCTTTTTTGTTTGCACAGTAGACTAACCAACAACAACTTTGAAAAAATAATAGTGTTACGAGTAAACATCTCTTGTGTGCTTATTAAGTTCTGTGTATGTCAGTTTTTAACACACTTTAAAATGTAGAAATATAAACAGCTTTATTAAACTGAAGTTTAAGCGAGTACATAACACCGGACTGCAAACGCTGTCTAGTCTTTTTTTAAGTAACTAAATTTATTCAAAAAAGTAACATTGTTAAGGTGAACTTATCTTGACCTCCTCCCCCACCTTCCTTTCCCCCGTAACATTTACTAAATCAAAAAAAAAATTAATAAATTAAATAGATTTAATAAATAAAAAATCAGAACCCCCTCCATCTATTTAGTTGACGTATATAATGGACAGCCCAAAAAACGCATAATAAAATTAATACCTGGTTCAAATGAAATTTGAGACAATAATGAATTTTTAAATACCAAGTCAGATTTTGCATTTGGTATGATAACGATAGCTGAAAATATTTAAGATTATAAACTTTGAAAACTTAGAATAAGCTTTGTCAACAACAGCTGCCAACCTTGGCAACATTTTTTACTTTTATTTTCCTCATAAAGGTAAACAAAAACTACCTGCTCTAGATATCTTCACCCACTCTGGAACTAATATTTTATCACCATAAACACACTTAAGAAGATCATTGAAATTATAATCTTTTGCTGTCAGCGCTAAAGCAATTTCTTTGTTGTAACTGGACTTGTTCACCCATATGAAAGATTCTAATTCGACTGTATGCTTGTTGTTTAAAGAGAAAACTTCACCATTTAATCTACATAAATTAAACTTATAAATCAAGTCTATTGCAATTCAAATAAATATTAAAATGGGAACTGTTTGCTTTTGTTGATTTCCACAATAAAATAACTTTAAGTAGTCTAGACCTAAAAATTATTTTCAAAAGTGCAGAGACACAAACTAGTTATTATTTGGGGATAAAAAAAATGCTTTTATCAAGTTGCAGATGCCAAAACAATGATTATAATTTTTTAAACTAAAAAAAGTAATGATCGTGTAAAAATAATAATAATAATAACAATTTGAAATTTAAAAAATTAATAATTAAAATAGATGTAATAAATAAAAAAATATTAATGTTCATAAAAAAAATGTTTATAATTCTAAACATGATTTTGTATTTGTTTTGAATGTATTTGTCTAAATATCTTTGAACATATTCACCATACTTAATTAACTTTGAGTTGGTGTAGAATTTAAATGTGTGTTTAATCAAGCCTAATATTTCATTAGCTTTATAAACCCAATATTACATATGCTGGAAGTACTTCCATCAGTAGAAGTCATAAGACCTAGGAGTCTTTTATAAAGTATGTATGCAGGTATGAGGGAGGGGGAGGGGTGGATTAATTTTAACTAAAAAAGAAAAACTTTTAAAAGGAAAGTGTGTGTTTAAGAGAACAAGTACCCAAGGGCACTCTGAAGAGATCTTATAGGGGGTGACCTATCTGTTTTTTGCCGAGTAAGGCCTAAAAATTTTGTGACTAAGATCTAAAAAGGTCCTTGCTTGCTAACATTTGCCAACTGCCAACTATAGATACAATTTTTCTGACTCCAGTGTCCAATATTGCAGACTAATAAATTTTGTAGGGGGGCTAGACACCTCCAACGCCTCCCCCACCCCATTAGGATGCCTCTGCAAGTACCTCCACGATTTAACTATCTCTTGTTCTCTAGGAGGGGTATCCTAAATCAGTAGTTTTACTGTGCACATACTTTATGGATGCTGGCCTAGCCCTTTTGCTAAATAGTGGCTCATATATTATTATTGTAGCTAAAAAAATTTATTTTCTTGTTTTTTTGTATATTAAATTTTTATTTTTTGTAATATAATATAAAATAAATATTTGCAACCCATTTTAACATAAAATAAAAGTAATAAAAAATATAAATATTAAAATGTAAGTATATGGTATTTTGAAACTTTTAATTTTAATACTTGCTATTCTAACTAAGTATGGTATTTTGAGATAAAGCTGATTTGTAGGGTATTTTGGGATAAAGCTTGCGAGTATATGGAAAAAATTAAGAGAATATTAATGTGAATACTTTTATATTAACATAAAAATATTTTAAAATATAAGTACAAAAAATATAAGAAATTAGTTAACTTTCTTAACAGTTTATATTTTCTCTAAAATTAATTTTTTAGAGATTAATTTTTCAACTTGTTATTCTAAGTCAAAAATCTGGAAATTTTCAGAACTTAATCAGATTATGCTACCTTTTTATTATTTATTATTTAAACAAAAAATGTTTACTAAACTTTAAACAAGCAACTGTTAATGCGTCATTATAAATAAATTTTAAACAAACAACTGTCATCTTTATAAATAAAAACACACTTTGTAATTACAAAAGAACTACCTCTTTCAGATACTGGCCGGCTCTTTCAGATATTTAGTACTTATTTCAGATACTGGCTATCTGAAAGAAGTAACCTGTACATGAAAGATCTCTATTTACTTCTTTCTGGCCTCCAGACTATAACAGTGGAGCCTGCTGCAGAAAAATGTAAAAACTTCAATATATCTTATGATTGCCAGAAGGACTAAATATAGTTCTTCTTGGTATGAAAAATGACTTTGTATTCTGCCATAAGATCAATGGATTCATGAATTTACTCAACGTAGAGTACAAACTTGAAGAGTGGAGAATCTTTATTGACGCTTCTAAGCTAATTTTAAAAACATTATGTGTTGTTACATAATGGTAATGAACTACCATCAATTAATGTTGGATTTGTTGTCCGCATGAAGGAGTCAACATGCAACATGCCATCAGTGACTGATCTGTTGAGATCTAAAAGTAATTGTCATCTTGCTGGAAATACAACTGGAATATGGGAACTGGGACCAAATTTTACTGCTTTTCTGTGAGTGGGGTAGTAGAGCACATTGTTAAAACTATAAAACAAAAGAATTGTCCTCGAAAAAGCAGGGCTTTGGAGCTGTTTCAGAGCTGGAGCTATATAAAGCTATCTGAAGCTAGCTCCACTCCTTGATATTTTGGAATATCAAAGTATGAGTAAAGGGTTTCTAAGTACTATAAATTTGTTTTTTTTTAAAAACAATTTTTTTTTCAAATTAAACTGTCATTAAAAATGTAATTTAAAGTTTTATAAATTCTAAATATTTTAAAATATTTTGATATTGATATCACATAAATTAATTTGATTATATATAGATTGACTATTAAAAATTTGATGTATACCTTGAGGCACAAAGAACTTTCATATTTTAAAAATTATACTTGAGCTGATGTATATAAAGGTGCATTTATTTACATTCAAAAATGTCTTAATGTTATTTTTAGAAATTAATTTTAATCAAATTATTTTTTGTAATATTATGTGGTACATATTGATGCATATGATAAGTTACTTTAAAACAATAAGGACAATTACACTTTTAAATGAAAATTCAGGTGATGAAAATTTTCTAGACGAAGCTTTAAAGGATGAAGAGGAGTATTTAAAACTGGATATGAACAAGAAAGAAGGTGCAGCAGCTTGGGAAGGAAATCTAACCTTTGTTTTCTGAGAATGACATAAATAGTTGTCAACTAACATTGAGCTGATGTGCTTTAAAAAAGACATACATTGCCTAACTTTTGGAAAAGTTTCGGTATATTGTGTAGGTACAAAGAAATTCATTATATATTTCTAGCTGCAGGTTTTGTTGAAATTAGATTTAGAATACTGTTAGAAGAGAACCAGATAATACAAAACAGAAAAAATTATAATAAATAATAAAAGCAATAGCAGAAAAATATCAATCAACTACAACATTTCATTTAGTTTTTACAACTTCAATCTACAACATTTCATTTAGTTTTATACAACTTCATTCAACTACAGCATTTCATTTAGTTTTATACAACTTTTAGGCAAATTTAATTCTGGAGAAGAAGATGAGTTTGAAAAAGAATTAAAAGAAAAAAAGAAAAGAAATAAAAAAAGAAGAAAAGAAAACTAATTTTTTACATAGAAATACTTTGAATACTTTATAGTATATAATACTACACAATAGTAGTAGTAGTAGTAGCAGCAGCAGTAGTAGTAGTAGTAGTAGTAGTAGTAGTAGTAGTAGTAGTAGTAGTAGTAGTAGTAGTAGTAGTAGTAGTAGTAGTAGTAGCAGTAGTAGTAGTAGGAGCAGCAGCAGCAGTAGTAGTAGTAGTAGTAGTAGTAGTAGTAGTAGTAGTAGTAGTAGTAGTAGTAGTAGTAGTAGTAGTAGTAGTAGTAGTAGTAGTAGTAGTAGTAGTAGTAGAAATATCAGTAGTAGTAGTAGTAGTAGTAGTAGTAGTAGTAGTAGTAGTAGTAGTAGTAGTAGTAGTAGTAGTAGTAGTAGTAGTAGTAGTAGTAGTAGTAGTAGTAGTAGTAGTAGTAGTAGTAGTAGTAGTAGTAGTAGCAGTAGTAGTTTAAAAATAATACTTGTACAAAATAAAACTTCTTATAAAAAATGAAATATATACTACACAACACTATTTGCTCAATGATTAAAAAATAATATAAAAAGTAATTAACATATAATATTTGCAAATTAGATGCAAAATTTTAAAATAAGAAAATCTGTTAAATGTATTTGTATTTATACTAGATTATTTGTGTTTGTAAATGTATAACTAATTGTTAATTAGGTCAAACTTTGTAAAAGGTTTAAAAAGAATTTTAAAACAAAAATATTAGCAAAACAATAGAAGTTAAAAAAAAAAAAATAAAAAAAAAAAATAATATTAAAAAAAATTACCTTAAAAATTTTTCTCCGGTTAACATAGCAGAAAACTGTAAATGTTTGACTTTGAGACTAAGGAGATTACCAAACTGGAAATTATTTGGAAATAACTTTATACCAAATTTTTCTGTGATTATTTCTAAATTTTGCCAGAAAAAATTTCCTTCAACTGAGCAGCCTTTGCTTTCATCTAAGATTAATTCAACTTTTGTTTCAGTTTCTAGTATCTTCCCTTTACCAGTACCAATTAATGATACCTAACATTAAATTTACAAAAACATTCTTTACTTTACAATAAAAAGCTAGAGAAGCATGGGAGTTCAAATCCACAACACTTTTCTGTGCAGTAACTATGTTTGCAATAAAATTTTTTATAACTATTACTTTTATCCACTTTATAAATTTTGATAGATTGTGTTAACTAAGTTGTTCTTGGAAGAAAATTAAAAAAAAAGATTTTTTTTAGTTTAAAAAAGAATATAGGAGTTATCTGTACGAAAAATATTTTTAAAAATCGATACTGCTTTTTTATAAACTATTATAACAAAATCTGGGGAAAAAGGTTTAGCGTTACTTATTCAATTTATATTTTCATAGTTTTAGTATCTGAATTAACAAAATATATGCCAAATTAAGCAAAAAACTATGAGGAGAACAAAAAGACTGTTTGCTTCTTGTGTCTTGGCAAGTCTAGTTGCTTTTTAACCAGCTTTATGACACTTTAATGATCCAAAAGTCCCAACTGGCATTTGTGAGTGTCAAAGTTAGTAAGTCAGATTATAGAAAAGAACTTCAACTCCAAGTTTGATCAGTTGAGTAAAAAACTTGGATCAAAGTTGCAACTGACAAGGGCACAAATCAGGTGGATAAACTTTTCATTCACTGAAAGACTTGAAAGCTCTTTGTCAAAAAGTTTAACAGTTTTGAATTGTGCATGCCTCTATAACCATACAACATCCACAAGACAAATAAGCACTGATTTGGAATTAAAATGCTCAAGATGGGCAGTAAATCATGGAACTAACAATTCAGACATTCTTAGTTTTTTTTTTGCAAAAAGTCACATATCTTAAACACTAACTGAAGCACACAAAAACATTATTCTTCAATGGGCCAAGGACCATATGACTTGGGGGAAAAAAATGGCAAAAAATTGTGGGGTCCGATGAAAAAAGGTTGATGGTCCAGATGGCTCCAATTACTACTGGCATGATATTAAAAAAGAAAAAATATTTTCAAAAAGAAGGGCTATGGATTAATTTTTTCAAATTTCAATTTCAAATTCATTTTCTTTTTATAAAAGTTTTTTTTTTTTTAATTTTTAATTGAATTTGCTGATAAGATGGTTTACCAGCAAACTCAATTATTAGAATGGTCAGCACTCTCACCTGATTTAAATTCCATCGAAAATGTATGGGGCATCTTAGCAAGACGTGTTTATGCAGAAGGTAAACAATATTTGAATGCTGATAAATTGAAAAAGGCAATGTTTGGACAAACGTTACATGTTTGGAAAAACGTATCTTTTTCAGATCTTAGAAAATATTCTGAAAATATGCCAAATCGAATATTTGAAGTTATTCAGAATGGCAGCGATAAAACAAAGAATTAATAATAAATTCAAATTGCAATACAAAACATTATGGAATTTTGTAGAATGAAATTGAAATAAGGTTATAATTTTGCACCATCATTTTTCTAAAATTTACGTCAATTAACGAAATGAAACCAGACTCTATTAAAAATGAAATATTAATTATGTAAGATGTTAACTTAATTGAATAATTTCAAAATACTTATTTAATTATTTTTGAGATCTTGAACTTTTGGTGAGGTTATAAATTTGCACTGCGAAAAATTGCTGAAAAAATTGAGCAGTTCAGAGTTTATTATTTTCAACTTCAGGACACCACCATCACTCCCAAAGTTCATGCTGTCATTCACCATGCTCCACAATTCATCCAACGCAACAATAGCTCTTTGGGGAGTCATTCAGAGCAAGCAACTAAAGCACTCCATCAACTTTTCAGTAACAATTGGCATAGGTACATGAGACCAAGCAACCACCCAGAATATGAAGACAGGCTAAAAGATGCATCACAGACTTCAACAGCAAAAAAATTGATTAGGAATATTACAAATCAGTTTAGACGCTTTACTCAAGAAAAAACAACTAAAATTGAAACTTTACTTTGTAAGAACATTGTGTGTCCTTTAGAACAGTGATGCATGTTCTAAAGGACACACAGGTCCATAAAATAGGAAGAACTCTGACAACGTGCCCTACAATCACATAATACATATGCTAGATAATTTAAAATATATATTACAATATATAAGTTCACAGTTATAAAAAAAAACAGTTAGCGGGAACAGTATTTTTCAAAGTCGATAGAGTTAAGTTTAATTTTAAAGCTCTTTATATTTTTGGCTTTCACAACATCAGAGGGCAAGTTATTCCAAATATTAACAACCCTGAGCGAGAACTTAATATTAAGTTATTTTTATTATATTTATATTTATTAGAGAAATTAATATTTAGTTATTTTTATTATATTTAGTTATTTTTATTATGGTCATGACATCAATATTTCTTTTTTTACAACAGTGTTTTCGATATTATTTCTGATCAAATTGACCAAGCCTTCTCCATTTATTCTTTAGTCAATATCATTGTTGTTGGTAACTTTAATGCTCATCACACTGAATGGCTCGGGTCTAGTGTCAGTGACTCTGCAAGTATTAAGGCCACATCTTTTGCCTTTCTTAATTTCTAACTCATATTGTCAACTTTCCAACTCGCTTTCCAGACAATTCAAATCATTTACCTTTTCTACTTGACTATTGTCTTGTTTATAATCCTAGTCAGTGCTCAGTTTCTCCACATTCACCCTTAGGTGCTTCTGATCATAGTTTGATCTTTCTAATACTATTATCTCATTCTTCTTCATCATCAGAATCCCCTTATCATCATACCTCTTACAACTACCTCAAAGCTGACTGGGACTCTTTTTGTGATTTCTTTTGTGATGGCCCTAGGGTAGAAATCTTTTGTCTTCCTGCTTACAAATGTATTTCTTATGTAACTTCTTAGATTCAAGTTGGCATGGATATAACAAGCATTTTTTCTTTTTATGGTATTTAAAGTTCTCAACCTAATCAGCAAACTAACATCAATACATTGAAATTTGGTGAACCTATTCTGTGTTAATATGATGTTTTATTGGATTGACATGATAAAAGAAATTGAAAATATTGAGCAAGATGTTATGACATTGTTTATGCACCCGCACAGCTCTCTTAACATACTTTTCTTTCAATGAGTGTTGAGTTTTAATTACCAACACAATTTGTATCATTGATGCACCTGTAACAACTGGACATATGTATACTTTGACCAATGACACTTCTAAGCAAATCTTAACACAATCTCAACTAGAGATGTCATAAATAGTGACTTTGCCAAATACCAAATATTTAGCTAAGCACTTAGCAGAAGCACCAAATATTTGGCGACACAGTTAACTTTAAAGGTTCTGACCTGCTTCATTGAAGTAGATACGTTAACTATATTGTGGGCATTTTTGTTTCATTTGTGACTAGGCCATGTCACAGCACACATTATTTGTTGACTGTTACATCGAATTGTTTTAACTATAGTTATGTATAAAAGTCATACTCTTCAACCATTCAAAAAGGTTACAGTAATCAGATCAGATACACCTTGCACTTCTGAGATAATTTGAAAAGTTGTTGTAGATAGATATAGAAAAAAAATCTTTAAACATTAAAAATGATTTCTTCGCTACTATTTAAACTTAATGGGTTTAACTTATGCTTTAACTTTAATGTCAATTATACAGTAGCCTTTTTTATTGATGCACATTTTAGATAACTAATTTCAAGGGATTAGTTAAAACACAACAAGCAAAACAATAACAAAAATTTAAAGTTCTGAGAAAGATTAGGTTAAAGATTAATCTATTGGCAGCTCTTTGAGACTCCAATGAAACACTAGACACCGGTTATTTACATTACTCTTTTTTACGAAAATCTCCATTTCGTAAGAAATGGAGATTTTCGTATTATTTATTTTTTATATTTTGTTATTTTTATATTGAGATTTTGTATTATTTATTTACTCTTTCTTACGAAAATTTCGTAAGAAAGAGTAATGTAAATGAAAACAATCTCTACCAAAAATATGCACACATATGAAGATGTTGAAAAAAAAGGTCCAATTGCAAATTAAATTAGTTTTTACATGAGACTGTTTGCTTTATTTGGACATTAAACCCTTACAAGTTGTGGTCAGCAAGCCAAAAGATTATCCTAACAAAACTTTAGGCTTTGTTGCGAAGTTGGTGCGATCGCACTTGATAATTGACCACGGAAATAATATTTAATTGCGAAAAACCGGCCAGATTTTTTAGTCGTTTTGAGAACATTTCAAAAACAAACAAAAAAGCAGAATAAGATTAACTAGACCGATGAGAGACAGTTAAAAAAAGAACCTGAAAAGTCCAACAAGATTCAACTAATAAAACTAACGCTAGATGATTTATTTATAAATAAAAAAGTTTTTATTTATAAATAAATCATCTAGCGTTAAAGCGCGAAAAAACTTTAAGCAAAATGAATACGATTAGAGCAAATATTTTTGAAACTATTATAATTTTTTTAATAAAATTAAGCAACATTTTTTATATAAAGTAACAACTTACTATTAATGATTGTTTATTAAGGAAACAAATGTTCTTCGATTTATCAAGATTATATATAATTTTTATTTATATACATATGTCTTATTTCCAGTGCTGGATTGAGGAGGTGGGGGAGGGGGAGGGCAGGTAGAAGGGCTATAGCCCCAGGACTAACAATGTTAGGGGCTGCGAAATAGTCAAGATGACCAATTGGAATTTTTTTTTAGTCATTTTTACGCTGTGGCACATAAAAAAGGCAGCCAAAATAATGCAGCCCCCAGCCCTGAAAAGTCCAACAAGATTCAACTAATAAAACTAACGCTAGATGATTTATTTATAAATAAAATTTTTTTTCAATAACTGTTTTATGTTTCGCGTAGCTTGAAAAGTTTAACACATTTGAAACAATTCTTTTTAGTAAGATGAACTAATGAAATAATTAAGTCATTGAGTTACTGTAGAAATTCAATTAGCTAGATAGAAATTAACTAAAAATGTTAAATTACTTTGTGAGGAGGAAGCGGAACTGCCTCACAATAATGTTGATGATGTTT